CCGCCCCCGCACACACCACCTCCTCTTTTGTTTGCTCGTCTGGGATCTAGCTCCTGGCTGAGGGGGCCTGGGCAGGGGGGACACACTCGTGCTCAGATCAACGGCTGCTTCCAGAATGATCCGGAGTTTTCTCACAGATTAGGCCCCAGCCGAGCCAACCACACGTTGGACTACTAAACTAAAGATTTGTGACGGAAAATATAAAAGCACGTTTTTACAAGATTACTGCAAAATAAGGGATTCAGTTCACGCTTTCATTTGTGATTTCATCCTTTAATTCCGAGCGTGCACACACGCTGAAACCTGTGAACGGTAAAAACAAAGCCTTGGCCTACACAGGATGACATCATCACGCCGCCATCTTAAACCCTTCTCTGTGTCAGAAAGAGCAGAAGCAGCTTTACCAAGTCAGACGTCAATCAAGAATAACAACAAGCACTAAAATAACCGTTGCCATGTATCTGGAAAGTACCGTGTTTAATCTGCCTTTATTTTATCTGCTTTCAGTCAGAGTATCTCTTGTTGTCAAGGCAGTGAATAAATTATATTCTATTCTATTCAAAAATACTTTATTAATCCCAGAGGGAAATCCAAAATGAGCCCGCTGTGGCGGACCGTACCGATAACGTCCGACACGCCTTATTTAACGCTGACATGACAGAAGCCTACACACAATGACATCATCACATGTTCTGTAATGTTCCTGTTAAAAGTGAGCAAGACCTGGAGGACACCCTAAAAACCAAGTGGACACCCGGCACCGTGCAAAAGTCTTCAGCAAGCATTCTACAGACTTTGGAAGCCTAACCCCAGTCCCAACGTAACCATGGCAGCAGCATGGCGAACAAGCGGAGGACATTTAAACGATGTCTACAGTGTCCGATAATCACGTTGTATGAAAGTCTAGACCAGAGAGCTGTACAGGTACAGGTGTGTTATAAATGTACTGTTTTATAATCGTTTATATACCACACCTGTACAGGTACATACATCTATACCACACCTGTACAGGTACATACATCTATACCACACCTGTACAGGTACATACATTTATACCACACCTGTACAGGTACATACATTTATACCACACCTGTACAGGTACATACATTTATACCACACCTGTACAGGTACATACATTTATACCACACCTGTACAGGTACATACATCTATACCACACCTGTACAGGTACATACATTTATACCACACCTGTACAGGTACATACATTTATACCACACCTGTACAGGTACATACATTTATACCACACCTGTACAGGTACATACATTTATACCACACCTGTACAGGTACATACATCTATACCACACCTGTACAGGTACATACATCTATACCACACCTGTACAGGTACATACATCTATACCACACCTGTACAGGTACATACATCTATACCACACCTGTACAGGTACATACATCTATACCACACCTGTACAGGTACATACATTTATAACACACCTGTACAGGTACATACATCTATACCACACCTGTACAGGTACATACATCTATACCACACCTGTACAGGTACATACATTTATACCACACCTGTACAGGTACATACATCTATACCACACCTGTACAGGTACATACATTTATACCACACCTGTACAGGTACATACATTTATACCACACCTGTACAGGTACATACATTTATACCACACCTGTAGGAACAGAAAGTATCATAGTTTACAGATAATGAAGCAAAACGAGAGAAAGGTGGATCCCAGCATGACGACGTACCACTCACCTTCTGTAGGCTGGTGGGGTTAAGTTGTGTTTTATCGATGATCTTTATTGCAACCTGAGAGAAAACGACAGGAAACAAAAAACCTGCTTATTTAACGGTTTTATAGCAGTTGTTCCAGTTTATAAAAAGATTAATCTATTAATTTTAACACCATTTTGTTTTGAGTGTGAACTTCATTACAATAGTTAACATTTGTAATCGTGTAGAAGAAAAACCCTCATTGGGTAACTGACTGCCTTCACGCTCTGTGATTGGCCAGTCACATGGAGCGCCCGCCCCTCCCAACACACAAAACTGCAGTCGAAAGCTCATTCCGGCCCAAGCACCGCCCCACACACACACACATGCACAGTAATGGATCTTTCTGTGCTTGCTTCACTGTTGCTCACGTTTCTTCAGCTCGCCTCTTCTTCAGTTGAATATTTAAAGTTACTTTTTTCATGTTTTTGACAAGACAGAGCTGAAAACGGCTCGTGCATGCGTCGGTCACTGCCTCCGCTCCGGCCGGGTTTTTTTTATATTATATTCTCTCACACACTCACACTCACACACTCTCTCACACACTCTCTCACACACACACACACACACACACACACACACACACACACACACACACACACACACACACACACACACACACACTGTTGTGTGTAACTGTGTGTGTGGGGAAAAATGCCAACAACGTTAGGAAGAAATCAGTTTAATCAAATTAAAATAAAATGGTTCTAGTATTTCATATTTCCTAGTTCCTACTGCATGAGTTCAGATGTATTAATCCATGCACTTAAATATTAATGATCTGATTTTATTGAAACACTTGTTCTGTAATAGTTTCTTTACTATTGTGATCAAAAACATTGAATCTCAGTTCTGAGGCTGCTCTGTAAACAGTTTTCAGATAAACAATAGTTTATAAATAAGCAACTTCTGATCATTCCATATCAATTTCAGATTTAAAATAATGTATTGATGTAAACCACGCCCACTGATTTCTAAATAATAAATGAGGTGCATTCATCTGTGTGTCTCCTTTGATCCGCATTAGTGATGTTTTCAGCACCAGAACAGTGAAGCTAGGAAACAGATTCCTGAGTTTGTGCAGGTCAGAGGATGGAGCATCAAATAAAACAATAACAACATAAAGGTGAGACGTGTCATAATCCCCCCCCCCCCCCCCACCACAGCTGGAAGGATTCCTAGGGGAAACACTGGAACTGGATGTATGGATCAACAGTGCAGCTTCCTTCCACATGACCAACACATGACTTGCACTATTGTTGCTCAGGAGACTTAAGAGAAGAAAGGCTGCTGTGTTAACCCACACATCAGCTCCAGGGTTCTCCTCCGTTATGATTCCCAAATCCCAGAAGTTATTCCGGTCTTCTCTTAACTCGTGAACTTTCACTCCTGACAACTTTATGAAACAAAAGGAAAGTTGAGTTATCTCTAGCCCGTTTTCCTTTATCGTACCTCTCTGCCGGTCAAGATGTGCCGCGCCAACTTGACTTTGGCAAAATTCCCTTTGCCGATGGTTTTGAGTAGTCTGTAGTTCCCGATGTGTGGCTGCTCATCCGAACACAAGGCGATGGAGTTTCGACATCGGGCACCGATGGAGCGACTCGACCAGCCCGTACCTTTGTCTGAGCGGCTGGCCGACAGGGAGGCGTGCTGGGGAGAAACGGAAAACTCATGAAGATGTGGAAAACAAGCATTTCAAAAAATGTACACGTTTTTATTGGAAAAGGGTTTTCCATATGTACAGCACACCGATGGTTAAAGCGAAATGAAACTTTATACATAAAATATAGAACAAAAGAAACAGATCGTTACGAAGGTGGCGGTGAACGTGGAAACAACAAACCTCATCACTCCGTGTTTAACAAAGAACAAAAGAAAATGAAAACGGTATTGGTCTGATAAGTAAAATGGGGCTGATATTCCATCCATCTTCGACCGTTTATCTGGAGTCGGGTCGCGGGGGCAGCAGCCTAAGAGAGGCCCAGACTTCCCTCTCCCCAGCAGCTTGGGCCAGCTCCTCCGGGGGAATCCCAAGGCGTTTCCAGCCAAGAGACATAGTCCCTCCAGCGTGTCCTGGGTCTCCTTTAGGTCTCCTCCCGGTTGGACGTGCCCGGAAAACCTCACCAGGGAGTAGAGCCCCGCACGGGCCGAAAATCTGAGCCCGTGTCCGGCCCGAGGGGGTGGAGCCCCAGCCTGACCCGAGCCTGAGCCCGACTTTTTTTTAACCAACTAAATGAAAACAAAGTACGTCAATCCCGACCAATGTGTTAAAAGACGTGCGGGATCCGATCAATTTGTTTTTCCCTTGTTTACCGTCACGGAGATGACGGCGCCTGGCTCTGGTGGTAATCAAGTTTAATTTGATCTCTTTCCAACAATTTTCACAAGAAAACAGAACAGTTAAAGCAGGGCTTGTGTTGACCGGACAGTTCCCGTATTCGACCGTTTATTTTGACGGAGAAAGAATAGAAAGAATTACCCCGACGCATGCAGACGAACTGACACTTTATTCGTTACGCACATCGCAGATGTAGCTAAATCACTCAAGAAAAGATTCCCATCTGAACATCTGAGCTGCTCAGCGCATATGTGCACAGCGAGCTGAAGTTGTGGAGAGGGGCTTGGAGCGCGTCGCAGAACCAGAGCGCATGCGGGAAGCTTCCTCCCACTGAAGCGAGTGTTTTCCAAACCCTGTCTCTCAGAGAGACTTGTCACTTAGAAAATGTTCCCTGATGATGAAACTTTGGCTGAATAGTGCTTGTTCCTGTCTCCAATGTGGCGACACATCCAGGAGCCGTCTGAGGAGAATCCCAGAATCTCTTCAGCTCAGGAAGCGCCTATGATTACGCACAAGCGTGACCCGTCAACCCGGTCTCACAGTAAGACCGGGTTGGACCTGTTCAGGTTTACGCAGACAATCTTTACATTTAGAATTGGCATACAGATGTAAAATTAATTCAGTAAAATATAAAGCATTTTATTTAAATATCCATTCATTATTTTACAAGCACAGAGAGCCGCATCAGATGGATGGAAGAGCCGCGGGTTGTGACATGTTTTCTCCAGGACCAGAGAGGACGCAAACTCAATACATCTCTTTTATCGTGAGGTAATAATTTCTCCGAGTTTTGCGGGTGCGGGCGGGAGTAGACATGCACGCTGCAGGTGCGGGCGGGAGTAGACATGCACGCTGCAGGTGCGGGTGGGAGTAGACATGCACACAGCGGGTGCGGGCGGGAGTAGACATGCACACAGCGGGTGCGGGCGGGAGTGTAACACACACGTTGCAGTTGCAGGCGGTAATGGTCAGAAATTCAGCGGGAGCGGGCAGGAGCGGGATGAAGAAAACTGTCCGGCGCAGGGCTCTACTGCTGCATTTGTGTTTCAATTTTTTTTTATGAATTTGATTAAAAATAAAGGCGCCCGGCCCGTGTCCGAGGTAATTACACAGTCGTTGGCCCGAAGCCCGGCCCGAGGGCCTAGGGCTTCAGTGTAGGGCTCTACCAGGGAGGCGTCCAGGAGGCATCCTGACCAGATGCCTGAGCCACCTCAACTGGCTCCTCTCGATGTGGAGGAGCAGCGGGTCTACTCCGAGCCCCTCCCGGATGACCGAGCTTCTCACCCTATCTCTAAGGGAGAGCCCAGCCACTCTGCAGAGAAAACTCATTTCGGCCGCTTGTATCCGTGATCTCGTTCTTTCAGTCACTACCCAATGACCATAGGTGAGGGTAGGAACGTAGATCCACCGGTAAATCGCGAGCTTCGCCTTCTGACTCAGCTCTCTCTTCACCACGACAGACCGGTACAACGCCCGCATGGGAATGGGAGCGTTACCAGGCTCTGGTTTCCCATAAGGAAGCTGGGGGCATGGCTGGCCAGACTACATCATCTCAGAAACTTAAATAACTTTCAGTCTATACATAATCTACTGATTTTAGAAGCATAAATGTCAGCATATGTGTGTGTGTGTGTGTGTGTGTGTGTGTGTGTGTGTGTGTGTGTATCAGTATCTGCAAATATTGATCATCTGCCATAACGGAGAGATTAATAACGAATATCGGCCCAAAATTTCATATGGGTGCATCCCTAAATATTAGTTGACGCCTTTTCTTGATCATCGATTCCCAGATTCACAGCGAATGATGATGATGATGATGATGATCTGGCTTTAAGTGAACAAAGAACATTTACAGAGGGAACCAGCTCTTCCACCGTGGTTCTGTAGTAATGGGACTGTAGTCAAGCACCTGACGCCCAAAGCGGAAACGTCAGAATAACCGTCATACAGTAAGCCTCATGATCTTCATTCCTCACATTCAGTCTAAGATGAGGTCAGTGACACGGGAACACATGTGGCTGGATGACGTCCATCTCCTCCTACTTCCTGGTGCTGTCGGCAAGCCTCTGGTTTAAACCAAACATTACTCAGATTTACAATTCACCTTCATGTGGCTTAGGTTAATCCTCGAGGTTTAATCACCAGAAAGGCCTCGAGTCGATTCACCAGCACAGTCCCGTCTAATCGGTCCATCTGCTTTCACTGAGCAGAACCAGAACCATCCAACAGAGAGGAACATCAGTCCGTAGAACACCGGGGAATGTTGGAAATTCTCTCTCACTCACTCACTCACTCACTCACTCACTCACTCACTCACTCACACACGAAAAATAATGTACACTTCTGAATGATACTAAAAGGTCTTTTTAGGGAACACGGCTGTTCTGCAGCAATGAAGGTTGATCGAGCCTTGAAAGCGGTGCTACTAATTCCCACAGGTGTTCCAACTTTTCTGGATTACTAACGATCCCCTCTGTCTGCATAAAAGCAGTGTTGGAACACACGGTGGTACCATAACCTCGAGCATCGGTTGAACAGTATCGTACTGCAGATAATGGTGTGTTGCTACATGAACCGTGAGAAAAAGGCCATTAACAATGAAAGACAGACAGACCGTCAAAACACTTAAATGTAGGTCGTTCCTACAGAGAAAGGTGTCGGTGAGAACAGTTTCCTTCACCATCAAAAGGCACTCTGGGGCAAACGGACAGGAAGAGGTTTGGCAGACCCAACACCACGACCGCATCAGAGGACAAGTTTCTGAGAGTTAACAGCTGACAGGCGGCTCACAGGACAACAGCTTCAAGCACAGCTTAATAGTGGTCGTAGTAAGCAAGTCTCAGTTTCAACTGTGAAGAGAAGACTTGGAGCTGCAGCTTTGGCAGGACGAGTTGCAGCAAGAAAGCCGCTGCTAAGATGTCAGAATAAGAGAAATAGGCTTGCCTGGGCCAAGAAACACCGCCACTGGTCTACTGAAGACTGGAAGAAGGTATTATGGACTGATGAATCCAAATTTGAAACCCTGGGTTCATCACGCAGGATCTTTGCACGCCGTCGAGTAGGTGAAAGGATGGTTCACAGTGTGGCGTCCACTGTCAAACATGGAGGAGGAAGTGTCATGGTCTGGGGATGTTTTTCTGGATCCAGGTTCGGTGGCTTGTACAGACGGAGAGGCACCTGAACCAAAACGGCTACCACAGCATTCTCCAGCGCCATGTAGTACCCTCTGGTATGGGCCTAGTGGGTCAGGGGTTCATCCAACAGCAAGATAGTGACCCTCAACATAAACCCAAGCTATGGCAGAACTACCTCAGGAACAAAGGACAAGATGGAGTGGCCAGCACAGTCTCCAGACAAACCCCATGGAGCTGGTTTGGGATGAACTGGACAGAAGAGTGAAAGCAAAGCAACCAACAAGTGCCACACATTCATGGGAACTTCTGCAGCAGATATGGAAGAACTTTCAGAAGAATATTTGATTTCTGTTGTAGAACGAATGTCACGAGTGTGTTCAGCTGTTGTATCTGCTCTCACCCTGGATTCTCACGTCAGTTCTCTTGTTCGCTCTTCTGTGGTGGCCATTTCAGTAAAGTAGCATGAATCTGTTAGTTACACATTTCTTTATCATTCCCTTCATAATAAGTTAAGTTTGCAATTTAAATTAGTTAATTTTGAATTTTTTGGTAAAGTGATGTAGTTGTGAACTTTTTGGACACGCCTTAGTCATTAAGCTGATTAGCAGCACATGGGGAGGCGTGTGGAAGACGTTGGTTTGCCAAGGGTCCGGGGAGATGGGAGGATTTGGTTAAATGATTTTTGGACCATTTTTTAGACCGGATCATTTAATTTAAGGTTAATTTTCGTTTGATCAAAAGTAGAACATTTTGAATGAATTTTTAACTATTTTTTGGAAGAATAAACCATTTATAAAATTTGCAAGAACTCAAGTCTAAAAGTGCGTGCTTAAAGGAAATCACCCGTTCCCACCAACGGCCTTTAGTTGGAAATCGTTTTTTTGGAAGTTTAAAGGCCGTGACACTCTTCCTTCTTCCATCTCAGGAATCTTGGCGTGACCTTTGACCCAGCTCTCACCCTGGATTCTCATGTCAGTTCTCTTGTTGGCTCTTCCTTCTTCCATCTCAGGAACGTTGCTAAGCTGAGTCCCATTCTGTCCCGCTCTGAACTTGAGACAGTTCTCCACACCTTCATCTCCTCACGCTTAGACTACTGTAACTCTCTTTTCACGTGTCTGAGCAGAACCTCCCTGAACCGTCTACAGGTGGTTCAGAACGCCTGGGCTCGGCTTCGGTTA